TCTTTGGTGTCTTTCAAGGATACAGCGGCGAAAAACAAGGCCGACGACAATAGGGGAAGTGGGAGATGGTAGGTGGGAGAGGGTAGGCGGGAGATGGGGGATGGGAAATAGAGGGGCGCGATGTCAAACGAGCTCCTCCATCCTCTTCGGGCGAGAAAGGAGAGAAGGGTTGAACAGGCCATCAGGTTGTTGCGCGCTCGTTTGGCGACTTGCTTGGGGGCGGGGCGGGGCGGGGCGTACTCCCACGGTTTTGTTGGAGAGATGGGGCGCGATGTCGAGTTTTACGCAGTGTAGTCAGAGTTGCCTCTTGAGACCGGTTGACGGCCAGACAATGGGGGCTAGCAGTGGTGGTGTCTAGCTTCAAAGGAGCACTTGAGTAGTACTGTACCCGTCTAGTGCGGTACAGTCGAAGATGAGAACAAGATATTGACTTCACTTCACGAAACTACAGTCCAGGTCGCAAGAAGCATAGTGGGGGAAAGGGGTGCTAAACATTCATGGAGCACGGCTACGGACTACTACAGTACAGAGGCAGGGACACGACTGGATTGAAAGCAACAGTAAGATGTGTACGCGTACAAAACGAAAAGAAAACCAAAGCGAAGCGAAAAGAAAAGAACACAGGACCGCATCCACTCAAACCGGTGTCATCCTGCTCAGCTCATGCACATTCACTTGTCCTCGATGGGCGAGTCGCCGTAGCCGAAGAAGAATTCCAACTTGCCCTCCTCAGCGCAAATGCACTTATACTCGGCCGTAGTCAGATGATCGCCGAATACCTCGCTAGCGTTGTCGTGTGCGAGGCCGAACCAGACATGGTCGAGTTCGGTCTTGCCGTCGCTGAAGTGCGAGTAAGGCGACTTGGAGGGGGAAGGCGTTGGGGTGGACGACGTGGACGACGTGGACGACGTGGGGTGAGTCGTGGGGTGAGTGGGTTTGAAGGTGGCGTGGACGGATGAGGTCGAAGTCGAGGTCGAAACGCTCTTCACACTCTTGGAATACCACTTCCACAACGTTGAGGTTGAGGAGTGCGTGCTATACTTCACCGAATTGGGCAGGGACGTAGTGCGGCTCAGAGTGGGCGTGACTGAAACGATTTTGCCCTTGCCCGACTTGAACGTGCCCGAAGACTTTGGATGGTAGAACGGAGACGACCAGTTGAGTGACGGGTGGAGTGTGGTAGCGGCGTAGTAGTAGTAATCTTCGTGATCTGGGTCTGTACCGTCGTGGTAGTGGATTTTCTCGTGAATCTCAACGGCTTCAAAATCAATGTCAACGTCCACGTCATAGGGGTGGGAAGCGACGTCGTGAGGTTTAGTGGAGTTGCCGGGGTAGGTGACAGGCTTCTCTGGCCAGTTGGTCGGCTTGGACGGATTGACGGCTGGCTTTGAGAAGGAGACGGCAGGCTTTGAGAAAGAGACGGCAGGCTTCGAGAAAGAGACGGCAGGCTTCGAGAAAGAGACGACGGACTTCGACGAACTTCCAGCAGACTTGGTAGGCTTTGACTGATGCACGCGAGTGCTCGACGAAGCAACGACAGGCTTCAAAAGATACGAGTAAGGCAGCTTTCCGGTCTTCGACGGATGCGCTATAGGCTTGAGGGTGTGGAAACCAGGCCTCGAAATAGAAAGACCAGGCTTCGCCCAACCAGTAGAGCTTGAGGTATGGATGGCCGATGTCCGGTGGAAGGTAGACTTTTTCGTGGAGCTCGTTGGTGTTGCCAGAGGGACGAGAACGCTGACCCAGTCAATGAAAGGGACGGATGTTGCAGATAGCGTCACATCCTTGAGGGACTTCACACCGCGGCGTTCGAGTGCACTGTCTTCAATGCTGCGGCCTAGAAGACTCTCCACATCCCGGTAGGTAACATTTCCTCTGAAACAGCAGCAGTGGGCGCCCTTGACCTTCCGATAATTGGAGTTCTTGACGTCCTTGTATCCGCAAAGGGGCATGGCCCGTGGAGAATAGGAAGTGGAGGAGATCGGATGAACGCGAGGGGACGGCTCGGTGGGCGGCTCTGGGCCAGCTGGAGCTGCAATGGCCGCCGTAGCCCCAAGTGCGAGCACAACGGCGAACTTCATGGCTGGATGATGAATAGAGGAATGTATCGATGGAGAACTGATGGATGATGGATGATGGAGCTTGTGAATGTTGAAGTTGATGGATGATGGAGTGTAAAGGTCTGGGTTGGGCAGGACGGTTTATAAACACTGCTGCCGCCTCTGGTCCTTCCCTGCGTGCTCGCGACCGTCAACATTGCGTGAGAGAGCTTACTGCCGGACGGAAGGTGGGAGCTCGAGACGGGCACGCTGCTCCCGCCGGCTGGGAGTGCTTCTTGCCTTCCTGAGCTCGACCTAAGCGTTCGCGAGAAGGATCTAATGGGTGGGTCAGCGTTTGCAAGGAGGCTTGGGAAGGGGAGGAACGGACCGAATAGCAAGGGCCTCAAGCCTATAGACTGAAGCAACTCGTTCAAGCTGCATGTGAAATTGAAGATGCAAGGCCAGTGGCAGGCTCCGCGGAACATACAGCAGCAGTCCATACCGTCCAAGGTGGCCCGGAGAGCTATCGGGCTTGCCAAAACTAACATTTTAGAGTTTCTGAGAGCTTTCCAAAGACCTCAGGCATGCCAGACAAGCCTACACAAGCACAGAAAGAGTGTGCACCTCGAGGATAGGAAATTTTGAATCAGAAGCACGAATTTGCGGACAGCCACTTTCTGTTCAAGAAAGCTTGAGTGGCCTGAAGCTTTACATAACACTGCAAGCCTCCCGAACAAATTCAACTCCTTTGCCCTCGAGCTTGTCATCATCTTCTAGAGGATCTTCCACGGCGATGATCTTGGGCTTCACACCCTTCTGGAGCATCACCCGCACTTGAGCTTTCTCCCAGAACTCAATCTGTACCGCCCTCCGCCGCCTCAACTCGGTCACGAATCTTGCAAACTCCTCGTCGGTCTTGCACCTGAACTTTGCACTCTCAATCTTGCTGTCCACCTCGTCCACTTCTGCAGTCGCGCACCTTGGACAGTAGACCGTCAGCATGCCGATGCCGTTCTCGTCCACAGTGTTGTACATCTTGAACAAAGACGCCGCATAGACGCTGTACCACGGACGCTGGCAATTCTCTTTCGTGCACGGCCGCTCGTAGTACTTGAAGGCCTTCGAATGCAGAACCGCTTCTTGGTGTCGGAGTAGCGCGTTGGAATCCGCCTCACGGCCTCGTACCATGTCTTTGACGTGCTGCTCAAACAGTTGCTGAACTTCTCTCATAGTCCTTCGTCCTGCCGTTGCGCGCAGTCGCCCATTCTCGGATTTCAGGTGGGCCTCCGCGAGCTGACGGTCTTTGAAAGCGTGGGAGGGGCAGAGGCCGTGTTTATTGACCAGGCCGTACGGCTTGCTGGGTGCGTAGAAGCTGGGCGAGAGCATGCTGAGAATGTAGTGCGCCTGGCAGCCTTCGGACATGCAGGGGACGTAGTGGTCGCTGGGATTGTAGACTGCTGAGGACGGCACACCTATGCGTGAGGACTGAACGGTTTTGACGCGAGACGGTTTGGCGGTTGACATTGTGTGCTTCAGGCTGGCGAGGCTACGGGATTTCTTGATCTCTGGTCGTGCGGAAAGACGTGTATAATCGCTTGTAGAAATGGAGATGTTTGACAATGATTTTTGAGTTGACAGTGATGGGGACGCACGGATGTTGGCCATGATGAGAGAGGTGCAAGAATGACGCGATTACTCGAAAGAACAGGCACAGAGAACAACAATGGAAAGTACGGTCTGCGATATTGATGAGCTTTTTGGAAGAAGTCGCTTTTCAGCTCTGGAGGCCCAAGCCTGCGGCGCCAAAAGCAAGTGGAAGCAGCGGTGCGATGGAGGCCTGGCAAATTGGAACTTGGGACGGGAAAGTGAGGTGGCGGGTCGGAAAGCTCCTGAGACATGCAAGGAGTGTAAGCTCCAAGGTGCCGGTCAACCTATGGAGAGAAGTCGATGCCCTCAATGAAAAGGAGGCAGTGCGTGCAGCTCTGTTAGCTGAAGACGCGAGACCAGCGCCATCGTGCACTAGGTGGCTCCACAGCTGCTATTGGTGACACCCTCACGGCGCCACCGGAACGCGGACAAGCCATCAATTGAGAGGTGCCGTGGCCGGCGATGGAATCGCGAGGTCTTGTTGGATAGATGGCCAGCTCGTCAGATCCGGTCGATGCGGGCACGCGCAACATGTCAGAATCGACAACAAAAGTACCCACGCTATTGTACAAAGGTAGGATTGCGGATTCGAGATTGCGACCTAATCCATTTCAACACAACAGAAAAAGCAGCCAACTTATCCTATCCTGACTTTTCACAGTAGAGAAGTCTCTGAGGGGCCGTGAACAATCTAATTAGCCGCTATTTATGTTCACACTGTGATAATAATACAACACGTGCGCAGTTCCTTCGCTAGTAGAAGCCGCTAGAACACCCCAACAGTATTACATAGTTGTCATGAATACATCAAGCGAAATCAAATCTCCAGTTGACAAGCTTAGAACCGAGAGGACCTTCAATAGCTCCGAAAAGACCAGGCCCCAGGTGGTATCACTGTCCTGAACTCCATAATTCCGCGATTAGCCAAGCCTGGCTCTGCCCTAGACACCGTCATCCATTCCGCTGTCATACTAGTACCGTTACAATAAGGAAAAAGGGTATCCTGATGATCAAACAATATTATTTCTCGTCCGAATCTTGCCATCTTTGACAACGCCAATGCTCACTCCGGCCTCTCCAGTCATCCAACCAGGCATCCTCTCTCCATCGACCACTCCCTTTTCCGCAAGCTGTCGGATGCCGGCAAACACGTGGGATCCGTAGAAGGTGGCACGGACGTCCGGGCGCCAGTCTGCAGAGCCGGCTCCTGGTGTGCTAGCTGTCTCGTCGGCTTCTCTATCAAGCTCTGAGGGTCTCGACGGGCGACCGTACGCTTTGCTTTTTCTAGCCGTAGGTCTGGGGTTCTGAATGTCTTCTTCATCTAGAACCGCAGGGATCACACTGGCAGGGAATGCGTCATCGATCCTCACTTCAACACGCTCGAGAGCCATGCCGTCGCCTTCGACACCAGAATTACCGAACCGGCCCTCTGCGACTTGCTTCCAGCGCTTGCTGGCTGGCGATTCCGCGGCTTCTTCATCAGCAAGAGCTGTGTTTCTCCGTCCACGCTTAGTAGTGCGCGTATTGTTCTCTTTACCCGCTCTGTCGTGCACATGGGCTGGGTTGGGTGGCTTGCTTTTCTTGATAGCATCTTTAGAAGGTGGATTGATACCAAAGTCCAGCGTGTTTTGATTGAGTTTATTGTCAACGAATATGCTCCAGCCACCTGGCGCGGCGTTGCTTCCCCTTGAGCCGCGAAGAGTGAGTAGGGCCTCGAGGGAGCGAGTGTGGAGTTTGGTATCTTGCAATTCGTAGCGCTTGAACGGTTTTGAAAGGGCCTGGGGCACTGCATCGTACAACAGCTTTTGAAGGCTTAGTGCTTCGTACCCAACTCGTTGTCCGGGAGAGGTCGAAATAGATAGGTACACGTAGGGTGAGCCGTCCGGGAACGCCACCCAGACCGCCTTTGCAGCACTCGAACCGCCAGAGGTCTGTGGCTGAACGTCGTGAAGCGACTGTTCGGTGTTGTATGGCGAATCATGCATAAAGATGCGCATGAGCGTGAGTCCCATGCCTTTGTGCATGTTTTTCTGGCGGGTGAAGTAGTAATGTGCTTTCATCAATGGCGAAAGCTGGTTCGCGAGGCTCTGGAGAAACGTGGCGGCTTGGAATCGCGGGAAGTCGTCGGCGTAGTCACCGGGTTCCACGCCAGGCTCCTGTTCCCGCTTCCTCACGAGTCGCTTTCCATACCACTTGTGGGAGGTTGGGTGGTCGAGGAGAAGGCGCTCCTCGACCATTGCGAGTTGATACAGCGAGATGCCATGCCTCCAGTCTCCGCACAGGATGCGGTCGGCAATCTCCTTGCGGCTGCCCTTTCCCTTCTTGTGGCCCTCGTATACTTCTCGCAATTCCTCGAGACTTTGGGCCGGGGGGTCGTACTCGAGGTGCTCGTTCTCAGCATCGTCAGGGTCGTGGTCCGCGTACAGGTACGGCTGGCAGAAGTTGCGGTGCTTCTTGTCCAGCCATTGTAGGACGACGGATATCAGGGACTCTCGTCTCAGCCTAGACAGGGCGCGAACAAGCTCGGTGTTTGTTGACGGAATGCGGAGGCTGTGGCCCAGGACGCCGTTTGTGGGGACTGAGAGGCCACCGCGAGGAGCCATCACGACGAGGCCGTGGCGGGGGCTTGTATTGTTTGGAGATTTTGGAGATGCCGAGTCGCGAGGTTGCGTCGACGCGTGTGATCAGGCGCTAGCCTCGGTACGTAATAGCGTGGGGTGAATGCTTGGCATTACGGCTTCGTCACGTGCCTGTGGCCAGACTCCACGACTCCACGACTCGACGGCGCCAGCGGGAAACACGGGCTGCTTCGGGCAATCCGCGATGCAGCATCTGCCGGCCGGTACTACCCGAAGTTCTCGCAACCGCCGTTGCCGCAGCTGCAGTCCCCGGCGGCCGTCACGTGGCCCGGGGTCGCCAAAGTGATGGCGAAGCGGGGTGTGCATACAAAGAAAAAGAAAGGCTGTGCCAGCCAGTTCCACAGCAGCAGTGCCCAGATTGCCACTCTCCACCGGCGACCTTCTGGCTCCGCACCCTCTTCTTTCACTGCCCTTTCATTGTCTCGACGTCCATCGGCCCAAGGGCGCACCAGGACCCACTTTGCGAGCGTTGTTGTGCGCCGGTCATCGCGGCCTCGTCAAAGAGAGACTACCACCCGCGGGGCCACACCAGCAGAATTCTCACACCACGGCTGGACGTCCCTCTGCGACGACAACACCACCGTCGCCAGACGCTGTCCCCCGACTGCAGAGCACTGCCGCCACCGACTCTGCGACTTCATCGCCGTCGCCGCGGCTGTGATCAGCGTCGTCTTTGGCCGCCGCCAATTACTCATCCTGACGCAAAGGATATCTCACTCGACTGCCGACATCGTCGCTGCCAGACATCGGGAACGACTCTCTATCTCGACGACTGCATTCAAGGCGCCTGACGCATCCTCAATTGGTGCATCCTCAGTCTCCGCCATGTCTTACAACGGCCGTCGCGGACCCAACGTGTCGCAGTACATCGCCGGCCTCAACACGATCCAGCCCGTCGAGGACCTGCCCGACCCGCTGCTCAACATGGACGAGGACATGGCGCTGTTCACCAACACCGAGTTCATCGACTGGGACCACGGCAGCCTCGACGTGCCGCAGCCGCTGGACTACGACCCCGTCGCAGAGCAGCGCGCCCGCCGGATGAATGCGTCGCGCGGCAGCTACAGCAGCGCCACCAAGGAGTTTGGCGCTGCCAGCAAGCCCGAGTTCCTCAACAGTGAGTCTCCCTTTTCGTCCGTCTCTTTCCCGTCGTCGTCGTCGTCGTCGTCGTTGTCGCCGTCGCTGTCGCTGCCGTGGTGTCGTTATCACGTCTCCTCTGCGTTCTCCGGATTACCGCCGATCGCAGCAGAATGGAGGCCGGTGCATGGGCGTGGACCCCGCCAACGCGCTGCAGCACGCAGCGCATAGGGGGCGCTCATTCGCTGGGCGACGACGATACAGTTCTGGCTCCATGCGCGTGCATGGCTCGGCTGGCTGCGTCGTTGGTGGACGTTCGCAGGGCTGCGAAAGCCCGAAGCACGCCATTCCCCGTGATGGCCGCCCTCAACTCCCACCAACCCTCGCACAACACCCTCCCGTTCCACTCTCCCCGCCTGCGCTACTACCATGACTAACGTCGCCGTCTATCCAGGCGACTTCCAATTCCAAGACTTTTCCGGCTTCAACAGCTCCATCACCGACCCCCAATTGCCCAACCTGTCGCAGAACACGCCCGCCGGCTATCCGCTCGCCTCCTACGGGTCGCCCGTCTCCAACTCGGCCTCGCCCGTGTCGCCGCAGTTTGGCCCCGGGCCTGGTGAGAAGCGCAAGCTCGACGCTATCACAGACCCTAACGGCGCATCAGGCGAAGAACCAACCCGCGTCGCCGCCGAGGAGGACAAGCGCCGCCGCAACACGGCCGCCAGCGCCCGCTTCCGCGTCAAGAAGAAGCAGCGTGAGCAGGCCCTCGAGAAGACCGCCAAGGACATGACCGACAAGGTCGGCGTGCTGGAAACCAAGATCACACAGCTCGAGATGGAGAACAAGTGGCTTAAGAGCCTCATCACGGAGAAGAACGAGAGCTCGGCCGATGTCAGCGCCATGTTCAAGAAGTTTCAGCAGACCCAGGAGACAGCAGGCGAGCGGAGTACCGGCCAACGCACCGACGGCGTGGGCACCGGCGCCGACCACAAGCAAAAGGCCAAGGCCTAAATTCTGATCATCTCTCTTGCTTCTTTGGCTTCAATTGCGGGTTTTCCAGCTTTGGCGCCGGGAGGCATACCTACACCAACTGCTTTTTTTGTTTTTGGCCTCGACGGCTTTGCACTATGCCCGCGGGGTAGTGGCGGGCTTTTAGTTTCACATTTGTTGATGGTTGCATGTGGTATGAAGTATGAAAGAGGGAAGTGGTGGTGGTATATCTTAACTCCATTCATGTCACTGGTTCATCTCGTATCACGTCGCACTTTGGTTGCTGGGATCGATCGCTAAGAGTAATGACCCAGACGATACCAACTGCTAGAGGGAGGATCCGAAACGAACGATGTCATACCAAACGCCAAATACCCAAGCACCAAATACCCAAGCGCCAACATTACGCTATAGAATAGAACAGCTGCTAGAATCAAACGAGCGCGACACTAGCTAGCAAGAAAATCTATCAAAGCGTTCGATCACATTATCTTCGTAGTGTTCTTCTTGTTTTGACGTCCTTCTAAGGCTTCGTTTGGTTACACAATTGCAATGTTAACGTAGTGTATAATCGCACATAGAAACGTCCTGACACAAGCTGGAGCGCAGCATCGAGAACCACCTTCGCCCATATTCTACCTGTACAATTTCCGTAGCCTATGCTCACCATCTATTCATTGCTCATATACACATCTCATGACTACGACTGCGCCGCCTCTTACGTACAAAATCTACTACCTATGTAGCACGCCTTTCCTCGCCCGAATTCCATGCTGCAACGAGCCCTACACCTAAAGCATCCCATCCCCAGCCTCATACCATCTGATCAGGATGCCACTCTCTACTACCTTCCTACTTGCGTTTCACCGCCCTTTTTCCTCTGACCGCCGCGTGGACCGAGCTCACGTCGGCATCGTAGAGTGGGAAGTGGCCCAGAAATACCGCGTTTTCGTGCGCTAGTGACTGCGTTTAGTGTTTGTAAGCATCCTTCTATAGTTAACGTAATCCACAAGTTAGTGGCCCGCACAAGCTAGTGGCCC